TCGTTTGCCCCCCCTTTGGGGGGCCCTTTCCCCTACTGCCCTGCAGACCGCCGAAGCACTATTCACCCATGTGTTCCGGCACTACGGGGTACCCGATGATATTGTGTCTGATCGGGGTCCCCAATTTACCTCCAGGGTCTGGAGAGCCTTTATGGAGCGGTTGGGGGTCTCGGTGAGTCTCACCTCGGGTTACCACCCAGAGAGTAATGGGCAGGTGGAACGCGTGAACCAGGATGTGGGTAGGTTTCTTAGAACATACTGCCAGGACCGGCCGGAGGAGTGGGCGAGGTACGTTCCCTGGGCTGAGATGGCCCAGAATTCCCTACGCCATTCCTCCACTAACCTAACCCCTTTTCAATGTGTGTTACCAGCCGGTTCTGGCACCTTGGCAGCAGAGCCAGATCGAGGCTCCTGCGGTGGATGAGTGGGCGCGGCGCTCGGAGGAGACATGGAACGCTGCACACGTCCACCTGCAGCGGGCCCTCCGACGTCATAAGGCGAGCGCCGATCTCCACCGCAGTGAGGGACCGGTGTACGCACCTGGTGATCGAGTCTGGCTCTCTACCAGAAACCTGCCCCTCCGCCTGCCCTGTCGGAAACTGGGTCGGCGGTTTGTAGGACCATTTAAAGTCCTGGGACGGTTGAACGAGGTGTTACAAATTACAACTGCCTGTTGAATATAAAAGTATTAACCCCTCGTTCCATGTGTCCCTTCTCAGGCCGGTGGTAGCTGGCCCACTCCAAGAAAGTGAGATCAGGGAGACTCCTCCGCCCCCATTGGACATCGAGGGGGCACCGGCGTACACTGTGAGGTCCATCTTGGATTCGAGACGTCGGATGGGGGGTCTCCAGTATCTAGTGGAGTGGGAGGGGTACGGTCCGGAGGAACGGTGCTGGGTGCCGAGGAGAGACATCTTGGACCCGTCTCTCCTGACGGAATTCCATCGTGGGCACCCGACGCACCCTGCTCCGCGTCCTCCGGGTCGTCCCCGAGGCCGGAGTCGGCGCACGTCTGGAGCCGCGCGTCAAGGGGGGGGTACTGTCACGGTTTCGGCCGAGGCTGCCTCTCTCCCTTGTTCGGGCAGGCTTCGGCGTTCGTTGTCTCCGGAATACTAGCTGCCACCGTTGTATGTTTCATGTTCGTTTGCTTTTGTCTGTTTGTTGTCACACCTGTTCTTGTTTAGCCTAATTAGTGTTCTATAAGTTTCTCGTTGTGTTTGTCTAGTGTTGTGTGTTATTGATTTTTGTCAGTCGTGTATAGGGCGTGATTCCTGTATTTCGCTCGGTTGAGCTTCCCTCCACTGTTGGAGTATTTACGCACCTGTTTGTGCGCTTTTGTTTTGTTCGCCTTCGTGCGTATTTCGCCTTCGGGCAAGAGTTGACCTATTGCCGTGTTTGGCGATCACTAAAGTCTGTTGGACTATCCGTCTGTGTCCTGCGTTTGATTCCACCACTGCACCCACCTACAGCACGCGTTGA